TTCTGTTACCCGCGGGGCTTCCAAAGCGTGAGGAGGAGGAGAAACGCCCGCTGTGCTGCCGGCGCAGAGCGCGGTTGCCCAGACCTGCTCGTTGCGTGCCCGCCCGTCCCGGCCCAGCAGACGGGGAGCCGTCGGGCGGCCTCGTGCCCTCCGTGCTGGCGCTGCGCACAGGTACGCCACCAAGGCAAGGCTCGTCGCTGTTGCAGGCCATTAAATTCGCCGTTCACCCCCAGCACAAAGCCGATGCCGCGCTGGGGCAGAGGCCCTGCTCCTCTGCTTCAGTGAGGGCGTTAAAAGAAACAAGTACTTGCATTTAAGACCAGGGGAACAATTGTTCGGTAGCTAAATAGAGGGCTTTCCCTCCTCTTAATAACTGGGATTTTCAGTTCATGTTTTACTAGCATGAGGGAACACTGGCGACAGCCCCGACTTCGCCGAGCGCTGCATTCTGCATCTGCCGCGACGGGCCCTCCCGCTCTGCCCAGAGCGGACCCAGGGCCTCCAGGGGGCAGAGAAAGCAATGCCAGCGTGATGAAAATAACCATCTCCACGGCCTCTTTTTAAGGTTGCCCTTCACATCCAGCCATACGAGGGGCACGACAACCATGCTGTGCGTGGGGAATATCAGATGCATCACGGATAAGTGTTTTTCATGTAGGCTAAATCCAGCTGTTGCTTACGCACAAACTGCGCGGAACTTTGCATTAAATGCGTCAGAACAGTACCCAAAAATCAGCGCAGAGGGAGGGAGCTGCCTGGAGCGAGCCAACAGGGGCCATGATCGAATCCTGTGTTCTCCAGCACTTCAGTACCTTGCTGTCAGAACCCAAAACTCCTGATCGCCCTCTACAACTGCCCCACAGGAGGCTGTGGCGAGGGGGGGGTCGGCCTCTTCTCCCTGGTAACGGGCGATAGGACAAGGGGAAATGGTCTGAAGCTGTGCCAGGGCAGGTTTAGGTTGGACATTAGGAAAAATTTCTTCCCCGCAAGGGCTGTCAGGCTCTGGAAGGGGCTGCCCAGGGAGGCGGTCGAATCCCCATCCCTGGAGCCATTTAAAAGAAGGATGGATGAGGTGCTTAGGGACAGGGTTTAGTGGTGGGATGGCAAGGTGAGGTTAACAGTTGGGCTTGATCTTAAAGGTCTTTTCCAACCTAAATGATTCTATGATTCCGATTTCAGCAAAGGGCAGTGGTTGATGCGACTCCAGGATTTGCCCTACTCGGAAAGGCGTCCCGCTGACAAAGCTGCAGCACAGAGAAGCGCTTCAGAGAAAAGCACTCGCGGAGAGGCAGCCACAGGACCCTCAGCGTCACCGGGCCACTGCAAAGGCAAGCGGCCACCTGCAAACACCCCATGGACTGCGTCAGCCCCAGCGACGGGCTCACAGGAGGGTGTCACAGGGAGCAGGAGATCTGCCAGCAGCAGTTGAATCTCATTTCTGCAGACTTAGTACAGATGACCCTTTCGGAGCTCCTCTGGAATTCGCAAGGGGTGCTGGCTTGAGGACCAACGATCTGTTTTTTCTCACCGTGTGTATGTTCCAGGATGTTCGACACGGTTAGCGGGGTTCCAGCGTGCAACCGCTGTACGCCCTTGCCCGCTGCCGGCGGCGATCACGTATCCCTCACTCCACTAGCAGCTCCATCAGAGCATTTCTCTTTCAGCTTATTGCAAAGAGGAGCAAATACTCCTCCAGATTATCTGCTGTGGGTGAAACGAAGCCGTGCTGTTACAGACCCTCCTCTTTATCCCACCTCTCCTACACCACGGAGTTCTGCAGTGGGTGTTGCCACCGTGGCGCACCGTAGCCAGAGGACTACAGGTAATTAGAGCGGGAACACTAGAGACTGCTTCCTGCTACCGCTGTACGTGCTGGGAACCAAGGGAACGCTGAAAGCGCAAACTGATTGTTCAATCTTCCATGTTTTGCAAATTTAGACTTGAAGTTGCTTTATCCCCTTTAGAACCAAGGAGAAAAATACTTGCAATAAAAATGCAACTGAAAACACCATTAATTCGTGCTTTGGAAGAGGGTCAGCTCCCAGGGGCTTTCCCTTTTTTGTGATTTTAGCCATGTTTGGACCCTTCTAAATTAGCCATAGAATTCATTTATACTTCTCTATACCAATAAAATGAGAGGCGGCAGCTCTGGATGTGAAACAGGCTTCTGTTCACGACAGCTCCATACGCATTCCT